TTTGTTGTTGCAGATATACACAGCAGAACATATACCAGTTCAACAATTTATACATATACAATTTAATTTTTTTTTAACCCTAGCCCTATTTTTGGAGCTCTGGTAGCATAGTGACTAAGGCACTTGACTGCTAACCAGAAGGCTGGCGGTTCAAGCCCACCAGCCGCTCCTCGGAAGGAAGATGGGGCAATCTACTTCTGTAGTGATACTGCCTCAGAAACTCAAGGAGAGGTCACTATAAGTCGGGTCCGACTTGACAGCACATAACAACAACAACAACAACAACAGCCCTATTTTTGTTTCAAGTTGAAATCATTCATTCATTCATTTCCTATTTCCTGTGCCTCTCAACATGTGATCAGTACATCACCTACATTAGAATCAATCAATTTGTTTTTTTCAAAGGGTACTTTTTTAAACTGCAGATGAATGGTCCTGCCTCTAGACTACTAACCCATTAAGGGTGGAACTTGAGAATCTGTGTTTTTATCAGTCTCCCCGTTAATAATTACTGGCATGGGTAGAGTGGAAAGGGGAAGGCTCACTGAAAGACAATGTGACTTTATCCATGCAGAGAGCTCACTGGAGCCATTTTACACAAGGGACTTGGTCTGATTGAGGTATTTGCTACCTCGTTAGCTGAGTTTTCCTGTATTTAGCTTGTGTAGTATAGATAATGGAAAAGTGCTTGATTCATACTAGTCAACATCTGCTCTTATTAATGCTAAGTTATCAGTCAAATGAAAACTATTTATTCTTCTTCAATGATATTTACACAAAATTCCATTTAATCTATTCATAACTTTTGTAAAATATCGATTAACAACACTGTCTACTACCTTCCTCATTTTCTTAAGTTCTGGAAGTCATTAGATATTTTTTCTTCCCCTTTCAAGATGTATCATCTAAATCAGCATTCTCTTTTACTTTGGTCAATAAAACTTAAAGCCCAAATCATTACCCTGCCATTCTTCTATTGCCTTATGTTGAAGTGCCATATTTTGCATGTTAATTTTGTAATAAAAGTAGGGAATTGAAAAATTAGCAGCCCTGGGTAAGGGACAACGTTCTATAACAATATTATTCAAATATTCAAATATTCATCTCAATCCTCCCCTAAAACTATACAAGTTTTTTTAAGGACATTTTACATATTCCTCAGGGAAGAGTTTATACCTTACTCTATTAGAAACTCAAATACTGAATTGAACCATCTTGTTAATGCATCTGTATATCTATAATAATGTAAATACCTACATATCTACATTGACTACCCAGTGAACGTACCAAGTACATTTTTCAATATTAGCCCAAAATGTAAATATTATATCGCTAACATCTTTTTTTTGTTTGTTTTAAATTTGATTTGGGCCAAAGTTTACAGAGCAAATTCTTTCCGTAGAGCAGCTCACATACACTCTCATGACATTCACTGCAGTTTCCCACAATGCAACAGCTCCACTCCCACTTCCTCCCCATAGTCTTCTTCCCTGTGTCCTTACCTCCCAGGCACTCCTGCCCCCTGAAGCTGTCTCCCTGTGCATACACAGCCCTTTTATTCTCCCATGATTTAATATCTCTAACATCTTTTATATGGCTCTCTCAAATAGCATTTTCATGAGATCAGTAACAAAGTACCTAGAAGGTCTGTTCTACATCAAGACTAGCCTCCTCTATGAGATTCAAAACTTTCTATTATATTAGATTTCATTTCCCTAATCTGCATCACCTCTGCAGATTAGGGAGTTTGATCAGAAATGAGGCTTAGCCAGGCTAGTTCCAGTGCCACAAGAGCACTGATAACAGTAGGTCCTCTTTTCCATCTCCCCATGGCCTGCTTAATGCACAAGCATCTTGCTCCTTCTTCCTTCTCCCCTCACTATCCCCCCACCTCCACGAGCCTTACAAGTGATAATATAAAAGGGGTATGTCAGGAAAACTAACTTTTAGTTTTTGCCTTTTTACTTCATTAGTTCTTCAAAATCTATAATGCTTTTCAAAGTAGATGTATTTTCCTAATCATGGTCTAGTATTATATACTCACACCTAACTGCTAAGTTTAGCTGCCAGTGACAGATACTACTCGTGCCTGTCCTACAGATAGATGGTGCTTCTCTGCCTCCCGATGCCTTACTTTCCATTTTGCCTTGGAAGGGCAGGCTGCATCCTACAGGGTCACTGCTAGTCCATACCTTGCCTTTGTGCAAATTAAATTAGAAAGACACCTTATCCTCAGCCACTTCACTGCCATCTGCTTGGGTAACATTAATCTTTACAGATGAGAAATTAAGACTCAGAACTTAATGACTATGATACTATGTTCCTTTGATGTTTCACCCACAACTAAGAGGAAGTCCATATTATTATAAGGTACAAAGGACAGAAAACCCTTGAACTTTCAGACCTACCCCACTATCAGTGAATCAATTATAACCCTTAGTGATCCTATAAGACAGAGTAAATTTGCCCCATAGGGTTTCTGAGGCTGTAAATCTTCATGTAAGCAGACTGCCTCATCTTTCTCCTACAGAGTGGCTTCTGGGTTCAAACTGCTAACCTTTTGGTTAACAGCCAAAACTTTTAACCACTGTACCACCAGATCTCCTAAACTCTCAGTGTTGTTGTTGTTATGTGCCATGGAGTTGGAACCGACTCATAGAAACCCATCCTTGGTTTCCGAGGTGGTATCACTATGGAAGTAGATCGCCCAACCTAATCAGTCTCCCCAGTTGATAATCACTGGCATTGGCAGAGTGGTTAGGGGAAGGCTCACTGAACAACAATAAGATTTTTATCTATGCAGAGAGCACCATGCCAGGCTTCATTCAGCCAGGTATTTCAGAATCTGCCATGGTCAGATATTGCACTAAGAAGTTTAGTCAGCTATTCCCCTCAAAAGAATTGTCCTCCTGGAGAGAAAGTCTGTTAAACTAAAACTGCCAAGTTATGCAACAGTAAAGCTCTAAGTTACAAGGACAACACAAATTTTTAGACATGTTGACAAATGAATGTAGGCACAAACTTGAGACACAAAGACAGACAAAACCAATGTGCATAGCTCATGGCAGACAGAAAGGGCTGGCTCTGCTCGCCTAGAAGCCAAGATTGAGCTGCATTGTATCTCGTCCTTGCTCATGAATACCTTTGAGACCTGTATCTTTTTCCAAGAATTCAGTTATTTAAATTCTTAGAAAAGGGAAACATGAAAGATGTATGTAAGGATAAGGATAAGGAAGCGTGTGTATAGCCATACCATATGATTTTTTCAGCAAATTAAAATAACCAGAAAATAATAGCCTTGGAGTTGTGAGGCAAAGAGGAGTAGGGCAATGTTAGATTTGGAGTAAGAAAAAAATTTCTTTTTTTTTTTAAAAGAGGCAGAGGCTCTAGAAAGTGCTAGTCATTGCAACAGGCAGGCAAGTGGACAGGTTCCATCCTAGAAGCCCACACATTATGAAAAGTCTACCCTTCCCAGGAACTGGAAACTTCTTGGCTGCAAAATAAATGGCAGTCTTCAAGTATTTCAGTGATTCCCTGCCCTCCAGCTCAACTCACCTGTTTACTGATTCCTTAAATTACCTTGAGGGGAAAAGTTTTGTTCTATAATTTGATAAAAAGCTTTGATAGACTCATTCACACCAAAAGTGATGTAAAATCATGTACTGCTTTGCTTTCATGGGAGGAAAGAGATGAGCCGGGGCAGAAAGAGGACACAAATTTGACTTAGACTTAGACTTCAGGTCTACTAAGGGCAACCCTGCTTACATTTTAGCAGGCAAGGTTGAGCAGAAGCATGTAGCTCTACTTCAAAAGATTTGCTTTTCTGAAATACACTGCAGCTGTGTTATAAGGCGATTCATCACACCTCCTAAATAATTGACCAACACTGAGGGGGCCAGAAGTCTGGACCAGAACCTTACATAGGATGAAATGACCCTTTTCTGCAGGGGGATCCTAGAGTCCTTTTACTTCTAATTGTTTGCCCATGATCTTCTAAATGTACCTTACCAACAATTCAAGATAGTGACTTTCTTCCAAAATGACAACACAGTAAGTTAAATTCAGCTGAGACTAGATGCTGAATGACCTCAATATAGGGCTCATACTTTAACCGTCTTCTTGGTGAGAAATGCTAACTGCCTTTGTGCGAGACTGATGAAAATACTCACTTCCTTTCAGCTTTGATTTCTTTTCAGTAAAGCCGTCATCTATGAGTAGATTCTTCTAGTGGGTTAAAAGCTCACTCTCAGGGGTCCAATAAATAGGAAAATAAAGGGAACAGCCATCACCTAGTCAAATTCTAATGTGCACATTAGCTTTTAACTAAAGACTTATGAGCAAACATTCCATTTTTAACAACAGTTTTCTAATGTTATTACCCTGCCAAATTTACCAATAGGCCAAATGGAATGTGTGTATGTATATTAATAATCCTGTATTCTGAACAAGCAGCTCTATGAAAGCAGCACACAAAGCACATGGAACAAACAGCAAGAAACTGATCTATTCTTCAGTGATTTTTATTAATTCGAAGATAGAAATCCTTTATGAGAAATAAAAAATCAAAGCCAAATTATACAAGCATGCATCCTGAGACAAACCAGTGATGAGTGAGGCCTGCTAAGGCAAAACCAGAGCAGACATCAATTCATACCATAGTCCACAGGAAGGTGTTTTTATTCAGTATGAACATACAGTAACAGTGGCAACACAATGGCCATAGAATGAGACCAGAGTGCACTTGATGTTTTATGAATTCTGGCTAGGTTCTGTCAAGCCCCTCATTCTTTTCTTACATTCAGGTGAACAACAGAACATAGCTACTAACACTAAAAACTTTAAAACTCTTTATCCTGCTGGAAGTAATTATATAATTGTGGATTTTTTATTTATTTTTATTTTTTGGCTACCTGCTTCCCCAATTCAGATTTGTCTAGCACATTAAATTCAATTAAGTGTCATCTGGCTGGCTGTACCATGCACTGACAACAGGGACAAGTTTAATGTGTTTCGTGGTCAGGTTGCTGAGCCTCTTGGCAGGTCTTGTCCTGCCTTGCACCTTGGACCTGGGCATTCTGAGGCTCAGTCAGCTGAGGATAAAAGGGACCTACCAGCCAGTTGAGTGGTGTGTTGTTAACAAGATAATCCATGACATCATCTAAAGTCGTCTTCATTTTCTGCAGCTGTCCTTTGCTAGAAGTGAGAAGGCCATCAGATACTTCCTTGAAGGAGGCAGCATTGCGGAACACTGAATAGATGTCACCTGCCATGACCCCCAAGTGGTTGGCTTGATCCTGAATGTTCTGAGGTAAACCTTGGATGTTGGAAAGGAGGGTGTGGCATGTAGTCTGGAGCTGCTGAGTCAGGTTGCGGGCAATGGCAAGAGTACGTGACTCAATGTGCTAAAAATAAAACAAGTTAAAGAATTAGTATAGATCCGATGGTGCTACATGTTAATTAATTCAATTACAGTAGACCGGTTATGTGTCCACCACATATATGGAGGTTTTTGCTTTTAAAAAGTCCTCTAACAACCCTGGGTGCAACAGTATTATTCCCATGTCACAGATATGAATATGAGCTTAGAGTTATTTGTTTGAGTTAACTTGTGAGGGATTTGAACTAGTGCCTAAGTCTCCTAACTTCATCAACTTAAGTTGAAGAAGCCTAACAGGCAAGGAGACACTAGACAGAATGAAAATATACTCCATTAGCAGGATGACTTTGATATTCCATTTTGAAATAAGATAATAGGCTATGAATAGCTAGTATTTATTTCAAAGACAGATGCATACTAATTTTGGAGACCCAAAAAACCACTTTCTAGGACTACCATATGCTATTTTCCAGTCTCTGTAGCATTGTTAAGGAGCTTTGGTGGTGTAGTGGTTGAAGCATTTGGCTGTTAACCCAAAGGTCAGTGATTTAAACCCACCAGCCACTCCATGGAAGAAACATAAGGCAGTCTGCTTCCATAACGATTCACAGCCTTGAAAACCCAGTGTGGGTTACTATGAGTCAAAAATGACATGATGGTAGTGAGTTTGCTTTGGTTTTAGTAACATTGTTGTTAGTTGCCATTGAGTTGATTCCAACTCATGCAGACATAGGTTTGCATAGTAGAACTACTCCATGGGGTTTTTAAGAAGCAGATCACCAAGCCTGTCTTCCAAGATGCCTACTGGGTGGGTTCCAACCTCCCATCTTTTAGCTAATAGCTGAATATTTAACTGTCTATGCCACCCAGGGACTCCTGAAATATTAGCCCACTTATTGGCTTTTCATCTAATTTATTCACTCATTAGGTCTCAGCTTTGATCTGCTTTGATCCATAAAGATCACAGCCAAATTAGAGAGATGCAAATCAAAACAACAATGAGATACCATCTTGCTCCAGCACTAGTAGCAAAGTTCAACAAGACAGAAAATAACAAATGCTGGCGAGGTTGTGGAGAGATTGGGACTCTCATACACTGCTGGTGGGACTGTAAAATGGTACAACCATTGTGGAAAGCAGTATGGTGATTCCTTCAAAAGTTGGAGATACAAATACCATTTGACCCAGCCATCCCATTACTAGGTATATACCCTAAAGAAGTGAGAGCCATAACAAGAACAGATATATGCACGCCGATGTTCATCGCAGCACTATTTACAATAGCCAAAACTTGGAAACAACCTAGATGTCCAACAACTGAGGAATGGATAACCAAACTTTGGTACATTCACACAATGGAATACTATGCAACGCTAAAGAATAATGTAGAATCTGCAAAACACCGCATAACGTGGATGAACTTGGAGGACGTTATGCTGAGCGAAATAAGTCAGTCACAAAAGGACAAATATTGTATTAGTCCGTTATTGTAAAAGTTAAGGAAAGGTTTATCTATTGGAGGACATTTTCTTTGTTGGTTTCCAGGGGTGGGAGGGGAGGGGAGGGAATGCTGTTAGATAGATAGAGAGAAATATTGATTTGGGTGAAGAGAAGGGCAATGTACCAAATGTGAGTGACCAATATGGCAGCATTGAGGATGAGAAAGACATAGAGAGTTACATGGGCAGTATAGACAACAAATATGAACCCCTTTGCATATACAGTACTGAGTTGTCAGTGAAAGCAAACATGGGTATAGGGACGGATAGATGGGTGAACAGGCTGAACAATTGGGTGTGTCTAAATGGAGAGTGTATCCAAGATCATATATGGGGTTGGCAGACAATGGGCCTATAAGTTCATGTGAATGATGTAGGAGATCCTACATAAAGAGGGAGAACAAAGTGGTACAAAACTCAAAATTGTTTGGAGGCAAAAAAAAGGTGGGGACCAGGTTTGCTGGTCCAATGGAGCCTGGTGTAACCACTGAGACTATGGCCCCTAGTTGCCCTTCAGGTCTGGAATTGAACCCACAACTGTGGTTTCCAGCCAAACAAAGTACAGGCATGTGAGTTAAACATTTACCTCAAGTAGACACACGCCCTGGAGAGAACAATCATGGGAGAAGGAAGGGCTCTTATGCACAGGGAGATAGCTCAGGGTGCAGAAGAGTATGAAGGGATGGACACTGGGGGGGGGTAACTATGGGGAGGAAGTGGGAGGGGAGCTGCTGCATTGTAAATTTTGGTCAATGACATGAGACAAAGTATATGTGAACTGCTGTATGAAAAGTGAATTTACTCTGTAAATCTTCACCCAAATCCTAATAAAAAAAAAAAAAAAAGATCCAGCCAAGAAAACCCTATGGAGCAGTTCTACTCTGTACCACATGGGGTCACCAGCCATCAGAATCAATTCCATAGCAGTAAGCTTGGTTTTCTGATTTAGGTTTCCATTTAGTCCTCATCTATTCTAGGAAGCCATCTGTCCCACTCCAAGGCTGAGTTAAGTACCCTTCCTGTAGATTCTCATAGCATCTGAACTTACATCGTCACATAAACACTCCAATAGCACAATTGCCTATATACCCTGCAAATCTGTACTCACTATGAGGGAAAGACCCGTTTCTCACTCAGTTGTATCCCAGTTGGGGCAATATGCATATCAATAGGTTGGTAGATAGGGTGACTCCCCAGTTTTGCTTTCCTGTCCCATAACAAGCAATTTTATGCACAGATTAGTGTTCAGGTCTTTGATAGAGAAGAGTACTAACAGGAATTAAGGAAAAATCAAACTACAAAGTCTGAAAAGAGCTTCTGCAATTTTCTTACCTCAGCACAGTGGGATTCATCTGTGTCATCATGGCCGATGCTTCTCTTCCACTCCACCCATGAGAGGTAGAGCTTATCCTGGGCATCCTGAATTTTCTGGTTGGCATCATGCACATTCTTCCTGGCAAATTCGATCTAGAACACAATGAAATAAGACAAAGGAACAAACTAGTTAGACATTCGCATAACTCATGTTCAGATATTTGATATAAATCAGATGACACAAAATACATGAATTTCCATAAGTGTTCAAGGAGAGATATCCCTGATGTCAATGCTATGTATTAACAATATGAACAACTCTGCCAGGCAGTAGTACCTCTTTACTACTGCCTCTATGCAACAGTTAAGCCCCTCTTCCCAAATTTACTTCATTTACCACAGGTAATGCAACTAAAATTTGGTTTGTATATTTGTGAAGTAAAAGTTAAAAGTATGAAAAAGTAAAGAGTTCAATCTTCCTCTTCCCTACTGATAGTCACTTATTTCCCTTTCCAAGAAGGAAGCACTATCTTATGGCAGTGCAGTACATACTGTTCTATAACTTGGCAATCATTCACTGCTACACAGTAGTCTATTATGATATATCAATTTAATTAGTCTCCTATTAGTTGGCATGCATTGCAAATCCAAACAAATATACATATATGTAGGATAAATTCCTAAAAGTAAATTGCTCAAAATATAAGCTTGTTTGTAATTTTCCTGTTGTTGTTGTTGTTGTTAGGTGGCACTGAGTCATCTCCGACTCACAGTGACCCCATATACAACAGAACCAAACACTGCCCGGGTCCTGTGCCAGCCTCTCAATCCCTGCTATAATTGATCCCATTGTTGCAGCCACTGTGTTAATCCATCTCGTTGAGGGCCTTCCCCTTTTTCATTGACCCTCCACTTTACCAAGCATGATATCCTTCTCCAGGGAAGGTTCCTTCTGACAACATGGCCAAAGTAGGTGAGATAAAGTTTGGCCTTTTTCACATCCAAGGAGCATTCTGGCTGCACTTCTTCCAGGACAGATTTGTTTGTTCTTCTAGCAGTCGATGGTACTTTCAGTATTCTTCACTAACACCACAACTCAAAAGCATCAACTCTTCCTCAGTTTTCCTTACTCATTGTCCAGCTCTCACATGCATATGAAGTGATTGAAAATACCATGGCTTGTGTCAGGCACACCTTAGTCTTCAAGGAGATATCTTTGCTCTTCAGCACTTGAAAAAGGTCTTTTGCAGCAGATTTGTCCAATGCAATACATCATCTGATGTCTTGACTGCTGCTTCCATTGGTAGAACCAAGTAATATGAAGTCTTTGACAATTTCAATCTTTTCTCCATTTATTGTGATGCTGTTTATTGGTCCAGTTGTGAGGATTTTTGTTTTCTTTATATTGAGGTATAATCCACACTGCAGACTGTAGTCTTAAATCTTCATCAATAAGTTCTTCAAGTCATCCTCATTTTCACTAACTGTATCACAGGTTGTTAATGAGTCATCCTTCAATCCTGATGCCACATTCTGCTTCATATAATCCAGTTTCTCAGATTATTTCCTCAGCATACAACAAATTGAACAAATATGGTTAAAGGATACAATGCTGATGCACTTCCTCCTTTGACACCAGGCAGTAGCCTCTTGTTCTGTTCAAATGACAGCCTCCTGGTCTATGTACAGGTTCCTCCTGAGTACAATTAAGTGTTCTGGAATTCTCATTCTTTTTAATGTTATCCACAATTTGGTATGGTCCACAAAATCAAATGCTTTTGCACAGTCAACAAAGCACAAGTAAATATCTTTCTGGTATTCTTTGCTTTCAGCCAAGATCCATCTGACATCAGCTATGATATCCCTCGTTCCACATCCTCTTCTGTCTGGAATCCTCTGTCAATATACTGCTGCAACCATTTTTGAATTAACTTCAGTAAGATTTTACTTGCATGTGATGTGATACGGTTAGATAATTTCCACATTCTGTGGGATCACCTTTCTTTGGAATGGGTACAAATATGGATCTCTTCCAGTCAATTGGCCAGGTAGCTGTCTTCCAAATCTCTTGGCATAGCCAAGTGAGTGCCTCCAGCATAGCATCCGTTTGTTGAAACATCTCAATGGCTATCCCATCAATTCCTGGAGCCTTGTTTTTCACCAATTCTTTCAGTGCAACCTCGACTTCTTCCTTCAATACCATTGGTTCTTGATCATATGCCACCTCCTGAAATGGATGAACATCAACCAATTCCTTTTGGTACAGTGACTCTGTGTATTCCTTCCATCTTCTTTTGATGTTTCCTGTATCATTGAGTATTTTGCCCATAGAATCATACAATATGGCAACTCAAGGCTTGAATTTTTTCTTCAGTTCTTTCAGCTTGAGACATGCTGAGTGTATTCTTCCCTTTGGTTTTCTAACTTCAGGTCTTGGCACATTTCATTGTAATAATTGGCTTTGTCTTCTCGAGTTGCCCTTTGAAATCTTCTGTTCAGCTCTTTTATCTCGTCATTTCTTCCATTTGCTTAGCTACTCTCCATTCAAAGGCAAGTTTCAGAGTCTCTTCTGACATCCATTTCAGTCTTTTCTTCCTTTCCTGTCTTTTTAATGACCTTTTGCTTTCTTCATGGATGATGTTTTTGATGTCATCCCACAATTCCTCTGGTTTTCAGTCACTAGCGTTCAATGCATCAAATCTATTTTTTAGATGGTCTCTAAACTCAGGATGGATATAATCAAGGTCATATTTTGGCTCTTGTGGACTTGCCTGAATTGTCTTCAGCTTCAAGTTGAACTTGTATATGAACAGTTGATAGTCTGTTCCACACTCAGCTCTTATACCCTTGTTTTGGCTAAAGATATTGAGCTTCTCCATCACCTCTTGCCATAGATATAGTCAATCTGATTCCAGTGTACTCCATCTGGTGAAGTCCACGTATGTAGCTGCTGTTTGTGTTCTTGAAAAAAGGTATTTGCAATGAGTAAGTTGTTGGTCTTGCAAAATTCTATAGTGTGATCTCCAGCATTATTTCTATCACCAAGGCCATATTTCCAACTACCGGTGTAATTTTCCTAGGTACTGCCAATCAGTCCTTTGAATCTATCCCTTGAGTTCTCCAGAAGTATATCAGTGTCTCTTTGTTTATAACTTTGCCAACACATCAAACTTTGCCAGTGTGAAAGGACAAGAGAAGTATCTATACTTATTGTATAAGAGTAAGACTGGTATGGTTTCATATCTTGAAGCTATTTATACTTCCTTTTTGTGAGTTGATTGTTTACCCATTGTCCATTTTTCTATTGGGTTGTTCATAACAATATTGAAAACTTCCAGATTTCATGATTACCTTTAATATCATCCTTTATGAATGAACTCATTTCAGATTACCTTAAAATGAAGTTTTACTCACCAGGTTAACAGTGGAATGGAGTTGAGAAATGGTGTCTTGACTTTTTTGCTTAGCTTCTTTAACCCTGCTGAGAGCCTGCTGGTAGGCACGTGAGCGGAGCTTGGTAGACAGAGATCCCAGTCTAACATAGTAACTTGGCTTCTGAACCATATCAAATCCTTCGACCTTTTTTGCTTCTTTTTCTGAGGTTAGAAAGGAGAGACAAAAATTTAAAGGAACACAACTACAAGTGATAAGGCCTGGACTCTAACCTTGATCCTGACTTTTTCAATTCCATCCTCATACCTACCAATTATGCACTCATTTTCCTAAGGCTATTCATGTCTCCAGGGAGCTCTGGTAGCATAGTGGCTAAGACACTTGCCTGCTAACCAGACGGCTGGTGGTTCAAACCC